TTGGCGTAGCTCTCACGCTCGCCAATTGTCTTGCCCACGTCTTGCCCACGCGCGCTTTGCGTATGGCTGCTTCGTTCGAACGCATTCACTAATGGTGAAGCACGTGGTTTACTGCTTCGGCATCATACACTTAAGTCGGCGTGCTGTCTCCCTTGTCAGTGTAATTAAAGTTCGCGCACGCGGGTACGATCTTTTGTATTGCTATTGTGGGGCTGTCTGTGGAGGAGGCGAACCCCTTTTGGGGGTTGCCCGATGACCAGTGGTGCTACAAAGCAGCGCCACAATACAAAGATGATTTGAACAACCCTTGCACCCTCAGGTCCCTCGACACGCAGAATACAGACACGACGACACCCATACCTCCAGCGATGCAGCACCATGGCAGCACGAGCACATTGACAAGGAAGCCTGTGCGCCGAAATATGTAGCTCTGAAGCCAAACCGACTGAACACAAACATTGCCGCGATCTTCACCACTATTGCATGCGACGAGGCCGGCACCGACCGTAAAGAACGATGACGCCCACACCCTCTGCATCCTCAGATCCCTCGAAACGCGGCCCGCCAGCTTGAAATAGTACGCTCGGGTGAAGGCGGGTGGGTTAGTGCACAACCGAAGGAGGAGGAGGAGGAAGAGGAGGAGGAGGAGGAGGAGCAGGCAGCACATGAAGCGACGAGCCGAGTCGAGATGAGGGGAGGGCAAGAGGAGGAGCATGAGGAGGAGGAGAAGGAGGAGGAGGGGGAGGATTGGAGGATTGGAGGATTGGAGGATCGGAGTGAGGATTGGAGGATTGGAGGAGGAGGATTGGAGGAGGAGGAGGGAGGAAGAGGAGGAGGCGGAGGAGGAGGTGGAGAAGGAGGAGAAAGGGGAGGAGGAGGAGGAGGAGGGAGGAGGAGGAGGAGGGGAGGGGAGAAAAAACAGGGAGAAGGACGAGGAGAGGGAGGAGGAGGAGAGGAGAGAGGAGCGAGGAGAAGGAAGGGGGAGGGGGAAGAAGGGAGGGGAAGGAGGAGGAGGAGTTTTTGGAGGAGGAGGAGGAGGAAGGAGATGAGGAGGAGGGAGGAGGAGGAGGAGGAGGAGGAGGAGGAGAGGAGGAGAGAGGGAGGCGGAGGCGGGAGGAGGGGGGGAGGAGGAAGGGGGGGAAGAGCCAACGAAAAAAAAGAGGGGGGGAGAGGAGGGGGAGGGGGAAGCGGGGATCGGGAGCGGGGAGCGGAAGTCAACGTGGGGGGGGGGATCGGTCGAGCGGGGGACGGGCGTGGAGGTGCCCCGTCGGGGGAGGCTGGGAGTGCTTCCGTGCCGCCTCTCCGTCCAGGCCCTGGCTTCCCCCGAAACCCGCCGTTCGAGATGCAGGAAGCCCCCACGAAGAGGCCTCCGCGGAGCTCGCCACTAAGTGGTCTCAAGGGCGGGCGGGGAGGAGGAGGCGGGAGGAGGAGAAGGAGGAGAGGAGGGAGAAAGAAGGAATAGTAAGAGTAAGGTAGGGGAGGGAGGAGGAGGGGGAGGAGGAGGCGGAGGAGGAGGAGGAGGAGGAGGAGAGGAGAAAGGAGGAGGAGGGAGGAGGAGATGTGGAGGAGGAGAGGAGAAGGAGGAGGAGAGAAAGAGGAGGAGGAAGCGGAGGAGGTAGAGGAGGAGAAGGAGGAGGAGGAGGAGGAGGAGGAAGAGGAGGAAGCGGAGGAGCAAGAGGAGAAGCAGGAAGGGAGGGAGGCGGAGGAGGGAGGGAGGAACAGGAGGAAGGAGGAGGAAGAGGAGGAGGAGGAGATGAGGAGGAGGAGGAGGAGGAGGAGGATTGGAGGATTGGAGGATTGGAGGATTGGAGGATTGGAGGATTGGAGGATTGGAGGAGGGCTCCGCCAAGCTCGGGGGGCGAACGCTTCGGGAGGACGCCGGGGCCTCGACCCACGGGGGGGGAAGTCCTAAGGGTGCCCATGTTTATGCCGTTTTTCCCTCTTCGATCATCGTCGCCGCCGGCCGAGGGCCTCAGGGGCGGCGGGGAGCTCCACGCCGCCGCCGCTGGGCCGCACAGCTCGCCGCCGCCGCGGCGAGCGGCCGGCGCGGGCTCGGCGCGCGGGGGCTCCGCGGCCGGTGGCGGCTCCTCCCCTCGCAGGCCGCACCGCGCCGTGCAGGGGAGGGGCATCATGCGCAGCGAGCGTTCTGCTTTACAGTCGGCCCGTATCAGAAGGATGCACGATACGTAATCGGGGGCGCGAAAGCATGGATCAGCGATCCATGGCTTAGGCGCGCAGTCGCCAAATCCATGGATCGGGGGAGGTGCCCTCCCCTAAATGCGGCCGGTGCCGCCTCGCTCGGCGGCGACAATCCCCGATTTCCCATGGAAACGGGACCCGTCGCTAATCCACGCCCCCTTAATCCATGTTTGCGATCGCCTGAGATGAGGGTACAATTGCCCTGGAAGGCCGTTTCGAAGCTTTTCGGGCGGGGCGCGGCCAGCGAAAATGGTCAAGGATGGACCGAGGAGGCTAGGATGCAAAGGTTGCCGTGGGGAAGTTGCCCATCCTTACAATGTGGGTTGACAGTACCGCTCCGACTTTTTCTCGGCTGCATGGCGTCATGTGGTGGCTGCGCGTTGTGTTTTCCCGTCACGGTGCGCTGGCGTTTCGTTTCGTCGTTTCGCGCTTCTTCGCGGCAATGCAGCAATTGCGATTGGCCTCCCCAAGACCCAGCGGGGGGGGTCGAGTGAGGAGAGCGAAAAGGAGGAGCGAACTGGCCAGCAAAAGAAGGGCGGACAGGGCAGGCAAGACGATCCGGAAGAGAAGGCCAGCGACAAACAACATTGAGATGATGAAGTCCGCTGCCCTTCAAGAGGGCGATCACTTCAACGGACAGTACGGACGCGAGCGATCTACAGGGCAGAAAGAGAACGAAAGGGAGGAGGAAGAGGAGGAGGAGGAGGAGGAGGAGAAGGAGAAGAAGCGCAGCACAACACTCAGGCCCATCAAGCCGTCTCAGGGTTCTCTGATTCGGGTGGCTCAGGCTGGGATCATTGAACCTTTGTTGAACCCACTTTCGACGTTTCGCCATGAGGAGGAGGAGGAGGAGGAGGAGGAGGAGGAGGAGGAGGAGGAGGAGGAGGAGGAGGAGGAGGAGGAGGGGGAATAGGAAGAGGGCGAGGAGGATGACGATGAGGAGGAGCGGGAGCAGTCTGCAGGACCCCCGCTCCTCTCCGCTCCCCGCTCCCCTTCTCCGCCAGGAGAAGCTGGAGGGGCGGTCTGCGATCGTCCTCTGTGCGGCGCCAACAGAGCGCGTCGCCCGGCACAGGCCACAGCCGAAAACGCCAATGCTGGACACGCTGGCGCCAGGGGGGCGTGCGGAGGGCTCGGGCGTGGATGCGGGCGGGCAGCCCTTCTGTCCCGCCACAGGGATGAAGAGGTGCGTCCCACGGTGAAGCGCCCAGGAAGGTGCGCACGAGCCCCTCGTCAGGCAGCGCGCACATTACGCCGCCCTGGAATAAGTCTCGCCCCATCCCTTGAGCACGCCCGCAATGGAGACAGCATCAGTGGGGACGATGCCGAGCAGCAAATGTGATTCAAAATGAGCACGGCCAACGTTCGCCACTTCGCGGACCGCGGTCGCACTGTAACCGAGAGCAAACCCTGCCAAAATGAGCAGCAGGAACCGCGGTCAGTCATCATCCAGTATTTCCTTCGTCCCCATTTAGGCTCTCAATCTCTGCACCTACCAACCCAGACCCCCGACGCCATGACTGTGTCACAGCGAAGACCCCCGGAGGTCTCGACCCTTTCCCCGAGACTGGCTCTCCATCCCGAGTCGTTTGTTTTGCTACCATGGGGCCCCCAGAGGCCGAAAATCCGCCGATCCGGCGTGTGAGCTACAAGGAGCCTCGGCAGTAGCTTCAGCTCTGAGCCCCAGCAAGAGCTTCAGCTCTGCTTGGGGGGGGTCGCCTGGGTGGCTCTGCCGGGGAAAGGGGGGGGGCGCGGCCCCCCATCTGGCGTTTTCTCAATGATTTGCGCATCCCCAAGATGTTTCGGGGGGCCCCAGGGCCCCCCTCAGATCCAGCCGCTACCGCCTCCAGGACCCTCCCCTCGGAACCCTCCCCGGACCCCCCCTCCCCGGGGAAACGGGGGGGGGGGAGGGGCGGCCCCCCATCTGGCGTTGTCTTAATGATTTGCGCATCCCCAAGATGTTTCGGGGGGCCCCAAGGACCCCCCCCCAGATCTAGCCGCTACCGCCCCCAAGACCCTCCCCTCGAACCCTCCCCAGACCCCCCCCCGGGACCGCTCCAGGCACTCCCCAGAGGGCACGCCAGCTCCAAAAAGCGTCCCCGAGGGGAGCGAGCACGCGAAGCAAAGGGGTCAGCGGGTGGCTCTCAAAGGATGACGAGAACTAGGGAGAAGAAAGAGAACCGGAAGGAAAAATCGAGGAGGGAAGAGGCCACAGATCCGCGAAGATCACCGAATCCAGAGCCCCCAGGATCGGCGGCACTGGCCAGAGGCCATCACAATAACAAATAGCAAACCACTCTCCGCCGTGACTGTTTCACGATGCGAGGGGGTCTTTGAACTGAGCTGGTAAGGCTTCGAGCTGCGCGCAAACAGCCCAGCCAGCTAGTCCTGGTTTGCCTGGACGGGCCCCCCACGAATAGCCCGGGGCGGTCTCACCGCCCCGACCCTGGGGCGCGGAGGGCCCTGGGGACGCCGCTGGAGGCGGCGGCGGGTCTGGGGTGCTCGGGGGGCCTGTCGGATCCAGGCAGGACTTCCTGGGGTGGTTGTCTGTGCACTACCCAAAGCATCACCAGGCACACGCACCAACTGAGTACGGCCGGGCTCAGGACAGAAGAACATCCTGCAAGAACGCGAGACCCTCGACGGCCAGAACACCCCAAACCATAAGATCACCCAGGGTACCCTTCCCCAGGATGCCCAAGAACATACGACAAACACGAAGAACATCAGGGTACCCTCCCCGAACCAACATCGATCTTATGCCTCGGGTCCGACCGTGCCCGCCTAGCGACACCAGTCCCCTCCTCGGCCGGGCTGTCGAAATCCAGGAGGTTGTCGCGGGCGCGCTCGGCGCTTAGCAGGTCGCGTTCCGAGCGGAGCTGCTCCACCTCTGCAGCCAGGCTGTCGCACTGGGACTTGAGCGCCTCCGGGGGCCAACCTCCTGGTCCTCGTCCTCCTCCTCCTTCTCCTCCTCCTTCTCCTCCTCCTTCTCATCATCACCATTATCGTCCTAATGAGGTTCCTGTTCCTCTGCTTCATGCACCTAGGTGACGTATTCCGCCTGCTATTTCTGCAACTCCTCATCACAACCATGATAATGCTCATTCGCATCGTCGCTCTCCTCGACATCAGCAGTGTCGCCACCAAGTCGTAGTAGTAATAGTAGTAGTAGTATTAGTATTAGTAGTGGTAGTAGTGGTAGTAGTAGTAGTAGTAGTAGTAGTAGTAGTAGTAGTAGTAGTAGTAGTAGTAGTAGTAGTAGTAGTAGTAGTAGTAGCAGTAGTAGTAGTAGTAGTAGTAAGTGTAGTCGTCGTCGTAGTTCGTGGTCGTAGTAGTTATTCGTAGTCGTAAGTCGTAGTCGCTGTCGATAGTAGTAGTAGTAGTAGTTAGTAGTAGTTAGTAGTAGTAGAGTAGTAGTAGTAGTTGAGTAGTACGTAGTAGTAGTAGTAGTAGTGATAGCAATAGCAGTAGTAGTAGTGTAGAAGTAGTAGTAGTAGTCGTAAGTAGCAGCAGTAGTAGTAGTCAGTAGTAGTAAAAAAGTGACAGAAGTAGTAGTCCGTAGTTGGTTTGGTAGTAGTAGTAGTAGTAGTAGAAAATAGTCCGTAGCACTAGAGTGGCAGTAGTAGTTAAATAGTAATAGAAATAGTAGCAGCGTCCCATTTCCAGCAGTAGTAGTAGTAGTAGTAGTAGTAGTAGTATTGGTGGTTAGTAGTTAGTAGTAGTAAAATTGATACTTAATAGTAGTAGTAGTTAGTACTAGAGTAGTAGTAGTAGTTCGTCGTAGTAGTAGAGTAGTTAGTAGTGAAGTAGTAGTAGTAAGTAGCAGTAGCAGTAGTAGGCGTAGTAGTAGAGCCGTAGTTAGTAGTAGTAGTAGTAGTAGTAGTAGTAATAGTAGTTCGAGTATTAGTAGTAGTAGTTAGTAGGAGATAGTAGTAGTAGTAGTAGTAGTACTAATACTAGTACTAGTACTAGTACTAGTACTAGTACTAGTACTAGTACTAGTATGAGTAGTAGTAGGGCAACACGTGGTCTAGGTTATCGGGATATGATCCTGTGAGGTCCCAGGCGGGGGGGGCACTCCTAGGTGAAATCGGAAGAAATCTTAAGGGGGAGCGTCACTTCTGAATGAGACCGGAGGAAGTCTGAAGCGGGAGCCTCAGTTCTAAATGGAAATGGATTGAATTTCAAGGAATCACACAAAACATAAGACTGTCGCCATTTCTGGGCCTCTCAGATTTGAAAAGGTAGGAAGTCGCAAGCGGGAGGCACATTTCTGATAGAAATTGGAGGACCTGTCAAGCGGGAGCGTCATTTCTGAGCAAAATTGGAAGAAGTGTGGAGCGGAGGCCTTATTTCTGAGTGGAGTTGGAGGAAGTCTCAGGCGGGAGCCCCTGTTCTTAAGGGTTCCGCAGCTCATGTTTGAATTCCAGGGAATCATACAAATCATAACGCTGTCGTCACTTTGGGGCTTCTCAACCTTGACCCTGCAGGAAGTCTCAAGCGGGAGGCTCACTTCTGAGTGAAACTGCAGGAAGTCTTGAGCGGGAGCGACGTCATTTCGGACTGGAATTGCAAAAATCTGAATTGGAGGAGGAGGAGCAGCAGCAGCAGCAGCAGCAAAAGGAGGAACTTGTTGGTACGGGCGTGCCTATCGATTGGTCTTCTCCATGGGCGCGAATCCGTGTATTCTGATGCATTTGCCTATGTCTATGGATATGTGTTTTCTATATATATATATATATATATATATATATATATATATAGATCATTGTTTTTATATGTCTCTCTCTCTTTCTCTATCTCTCTCTCTCCCTCTTCTCTCTCTCTAGCTTGTTTCTCTCTCTCTCTCTCTCTCTCTCTCTCTCTCTCTCTCTCTCTCTCTTTCTAGGCACGAAACCGTATGCTTTTACAGATGGGCCTACGCACTGGCCCTCTCCAGGGGTACGAAACCGTCTATTTTATGTATACTGGCCCTCCCCGGTGGCACGAATCCGTGTGTTCTACGGTTGTGCCTATATAGTGGCTGTCCCTTGTGGCGCGAATATGAACAGTTTGACGTATGCGCCTATGTTATAGCCCTTCGGGATGGCGCAAACATGTGTTTGACGCATGTGCGTGCAGATTGGCTCTTTCCAAGAGGGACTCGTTGTTGTTCACGCTTCGCGAACCCCCACCAGCCCATCCAACAGACCCCAAGAGGCCCCAAGAGGTCCCAGGAACCACCAGGAACCACCAGGACGCCCCCGGATGCCTCAAGAAATTCCAGGATGCCCGAGGAAACCCCAAGAGTCCCCAGGAGGCCCCAGGAAGCCCCAAAGGCCCCAGGAGGCTCCAGGAGGCAACAGGAAGCCCCTCGCAGCGGGCCTGCTTGAGTCCATCTTGGGGTCTAGGGCCTCCCAAGGCCCAAAGGGTTCACGAGTATCCTCACTCAGGCCTTCGTCCCATCCGCGTGCCACGGCAAGCCGCTCATGGGGCCCAGGGCCTCCCAGGGCCCAAAGGGTTCGGGAATATTTTCTCACTCAGGCCTTCGGCCCATCCGCGTGCCACGGCAAGCCGTTCTTGGGACCCAAGGCCTGCCGATTCCAGAGGAGCTCCACTTCCCAGGGAGATGTATCATAATTCTATGTCAAGAATTGCCTTTGTTTCTGCTGAGTTCCGAGGAGATCAATTTTCCAAAAGGATCCTCATCAACATTCTATATAAAGAATTGCCTTCTCTGCCGACTTCCCTGCAGGTCAACTTTCCAGAGGGACACGTATTACAATTACATAGAAAAAATTGCCTCTTCCGCCGATTCCCGGTGAGCCCTCCAGAGGGACCCGTAGTACAATTCTTTTTTTTGTTTAAAAAAAACGCCATTTGTTCCCGCTGATTCCAAAGGAGCTCCACTGTCCAGAGGGATCCGGATTACGATTCTGTATAAATATAGAGAGAGAGATGCCTTGTTCTGCCGGTTCCAGAGGGGATCCACTTTCCAGAAGGATCCTGTTTAAAGTTACGTAGTAGATATCGAATACGCACTTCTTGTTTGTACTACGGGCGCCTTCCCGAACCCGACCCCGAACCCGAACCCTTACCCTTTACAATTCATTCACAAGGGGTAACACAGACCACGGGTAACCCTAGTAGTAGTAGTAGTAGTAGTAGTAGTAGTAGTAGTAGTAGTAGTAATAGTACAAGTAGTAGTAATCATACGAGGAGTGGTTGTCGCACGAATACTAACAGCAGAAGGAGTAGCAGTAATGGCAGCGCTATGAATAATATTAGTAGTCGTAGTAGTAGCCGTCGTGGTAGTTGTCAAAGGAACAGCAGCAGAAGTGCTGGCATTGATAATATAAGTAATGGAGGTAGTAGTAATAGTAGTAGTAGCAATAGTACTAGTGGTAGTAGTCGTAGAAGTAGTAGCAGTAGTAGTAGTCGTAGTAGTAGTAGTAGTAGTAGTAGTAGTAGTAGTAGTAGTTGTAGTAGTAGTAGTAGTAGTAGTGGAAGCGTAGCAGTAGCAGTAATAGTAGTAGCAATAGTAGTCGTGGTCGTGTTAGTAGTTGTAGCAATGCTAGTAGGGGTAGGCGAAGTAGTTGGTGATGACGGAAGTAGTAGTAGTAGTAGTAGTAATGATAATAATAGTAGAAGCAAGGGTAGTAGTAGTAGTAGTCGTAATAGTCGTAGTCGTAGTAATAGTAGTAGTAGTCGTAGTAGTTGTAGTAGTAGCAATGGTAGTGGTCCTGTCAACGTCGCGGAGATCGTAATACGAATAATACTACTGGTGATCGTCGTCGTCGTGTTCGTCGTCGTGAAAGTCGAAGGAGTAGTAGTAGTAGTAGTAGTAATAATTATAATAATAGTTGTAGTCGTATTAATAGTACTGGTAGTAATGAAAAAAAAAAAAAAAAATGATAGTAGTTGTAATCGTAATCGTAGTAGACGTCGCAGTAGTAGCAGCACGGGTAGCAACAGTAGTAGCATTCGTTGAAATAGTCGGTTTATTAGTAGTAGTCGTAGTAGTCTTGGAAGTAGTAGCAGCAGTAGCCGTCGAGGTAGCAATAGGACTCGTAGCAAGGGTAGTAGTCGTCGTGGTCGAAGTAGCGGCAGCAATCGTAGTCGTAGTAGTCGTAGTCGTAGTACTAGGATGCATAGTAGTGGTAGTAGTGGTAGTGGTAGTAGTAGTGACGACAATAATAAACTTAGCAGCAGTAGTCGTCGAGGTGGTACTAGGTGGTAGTAGTAGTAGTAACCGCACGAGCAGTAGCAAGAGAGAGTAATAGTAGTAGTCATAGTTGAAGCCGTAGTCGTAGCCGTAGTAGTTGGAGTAGATAGTAGTGGCAGTGGTAGTAGTAGCGATAGAATTCGTAATAGTCGTAATATTAGTAGTATCAGCTGTAGAGCTAGACTAGTACTACGACTACTACTACTACTACTACTACTACTACTACTACTACTACTACTACTACTACTACTAGTACGACTACTACGACTACTACTACTACTACTACTACTACTACTACTACTACTACTACTACTGCTACGACTACTACTACTACTACCACTACCACTACTACTACTACTACTACTACTACTACGTACCTGACTACTACTACGACTTACGACTTGGCACAAACTACTCCTTCTACTAATACTGCTTACTACTCTACGACTGCTAATGCTGCTACTGCTACGGTTACTACGAAATGAGAAATAACTATCAACTGCTACTACTGCTTACTGTGCTACTACTACTTTCTACTACCATCGACGGACGACGCTACTACTTACAACTACTCCTACTACTACTATATACTACTGCTACTCCGAGTACTACTACAACTACAACTACAGAACTATACTACTACTACACTACTTACTACATTCTACTTACTACTATTATTCTACTACTACTACTACTCCTACGATACTACTACTACTACTA